AGACATTATTGCTTTTTTTACTATTACCATTAATATCAGTAATATTGATAACAACAACAATAATAATTAATATTAGTGATTTCTGAAGGAGCATGTGACTCTGAAGACTAGAGTAATGGAAGCTGAAAATTAATCTTTAAAGATTATTAAATTAAATGATAAACTACTTTTGAACAATTATTTTATAGTGCAACATTTTCCGATTTTGCTGTATTTATGATTAAATAAATGCAGCCTTAGTGAGCAGGAGAAGCTTATTTTAACATATTTAGCAATCATACTGACCCCAAACTTTTGACCAGTTTTGTATAAAATATTTTATAAGCAAAAGTGTGCACTTTAATTTTGACACCCACAGACATCGTCACCACATATAAATCAGAGAGGTCAGACTCTCTCATACAGACCCTCATTTCAGTTTTCAGGTTTTGTAAAAATCTATCTTTCTATTGAATTAATCAATCTATTAAAAAAAAAAAAAAAAAAAAAAAAAACATTGGCTAGAATTCTGCACTATAGGCTTAACTTAACCATTAGATCATGAAACAGATCAATGTTGATCTTTTTTTTCGAGCTGTCAGTGCAGAAATAACAAAACAACAGGCCTAATACAACATATTATAAGATTAAAATATGGAAAAATTATCGGATGATAACTTTGGTCACTTTTTTCTAACGAATAAACAGCTCTCTGTAATATTTCAGAATGCTTTCACTTTCGTAATAGACATGAAGCACACATTTACCGGTAGGAATGACATCCCGCACTACTCATCATTCTGTCTCCGTATAGCCGTATATGTGGCTATTCCACAATCGAAAGACACTGTGATATAGCCTGTGTCATTAGTTTGTTGCATTGTTTTGTTTTCTCACTACAATCGATCCACTCAATCGAGCAGAGACCAACCCATTCAGGCGATCTCGGACTGAGTGATTTGGTGCATATACGAGCGTGATTGCTCGCGCTAATGGGGGAAATGAGTCAGATTCTGAAACAAACGCCTATGTCTGAAAGGTCCCTAAGATTGTATTTGCATGCAATTGACAGTCGCAGCCAACCTTTTGTGACAAGGCAATACTGGCCCGATCGGGCCAGTAACATTCTGTACACTGACCCGAGCATCTCGCACGCTGGCCCCAGGCCATCGGGCTGTCCTTATTGTTGAGCTGTGAGTGGGCTCGAACTCCTTTAGTAGACTTTGCTATTCTAGGCACTACAATCAGCCCTGAGATTTGGGATCTTAAAGAATGGGTTGGATTGTAGCGAGACTAAATGTTGGTTAGATAAACAGGAGCTAGGTTATTTAAAGCTTTATAGATAAGAAGCAATATATTATAATCAATGCGGAACTTAATCAGCAGCCAGTGGATAAAAAGAGGATAAAATTGGGGTGTTATGATCATATTTTCTAGACCTGGTATAAACTCTGGCAGCTGCATTTTGCACTAACTGAGGTTTATTAATAGAGAGCATTACAGTAATCTAGCCTAGAAGTCATAAAAGCATGAACTAACTTTTCTGCATCTGAGATGGATAGCAGACTTTGTAACTTAGCAATATTTCTCAAATCAAAGAAAACAGTTTTTTGTGGCATGTGAGATGATTTTCAAAAGTTATGTCAGCTTTTATTGTATGGGGAACCTAACAGCACATCAGATCTTAATCATAATTATATTTTGGATGATTTTTTTCAGTCACAAATTTACTGATGTGGCAGTCACCGGGAACAATCTGTGCTATTAAAATTTGATGGATTGAATTCCATAATACAGACTGGAACTGTACATAGCGATTTCTAGTGTTTTTGCCCTTTCTTTCTCTCCGTTTGGGCAATTTGCTAAAAATTTCGCTCTAGTGTTTGATGCGTCACCATGCTGCCATATGTGATGCTGTCTTGTGACTGCAAATACTTGTTGATGGCACAATGGTGCAAACCTGTCTTTCGCGCTTCTCAATTTCAGCCACACTTTTTTGTTACTCATTAAAACACCACACAGCACAAACCTGAGTGAGTGGCATAGTTTTATGAAGAAATGAAAAGCTGTCCTCTCTCTACATCTTTCTCTTGTGAAGTCATTTGTGTACGGAGTTGGAATGCAGCCTGTTGTGCTTGGTTTTCAGCCCGGCCCTGCTGAGCTCTGCGGCCCTATTAATGATCTCCTCCATTACCATCACAACCGTCTCCCTTCAGCATCTACTTTCAAAGCCTCGGCTTCAGTCACCTTGACACCAGCCCCCCGGCAACAGCCTCCGAGCCATAGATGTGACTGCAGTTGTCTGGAGGCAGTCGGCTCTTGTTAGCCTCTGGTGTGTAAACATATGAATAATGTTTGGGTGCCTGTAGTTGATGATCTCTTGAATGGAAACGTACATCACATTATTGCTTATTGTTTATTTTTTTTCTACTTGGACTTTTAATTTAATGGCATCAAGATATGAACAGTTTCATCATTTTTTTTCCACTTCACGTGTAATTCTTTCGCTCGAGTGCTCCGGACCTTAACTTTCCGTGCTTACGTCAGACCCGAACGTTGTTTTCCGAATTTGCATGACTTTTTACAAATTGAAACCAGTCTGTTAGACAGGCCTGGATGGTTTTTATGGGAAAACACCTGGTTAACATCTTTGATACTACATTATGTTGATGGGATACAAAAAAACTAGATCACCCTAAATAAAAAACTAAAGTGATGTAGAAGATCATCAAAATGCTTAAACAAACGCCACGCTGACTTGTTATTCCTCAGGGAGGTGAACGATGCTTTTGGACTAATTCCCAATCTCGTAAATGTCGACATGTATACAAATCATTCACGGGCATGCCTGGAGTGGACCGAGAAATAAATAGATGGGGAGAAATAAAGTAAAGGGGCAATCTCTGGAAAATCAATTCTGACCTTCAGCTTGTTTGGAGTGGAGGGCAAACAGAAGGATTGCTCGAACATCGAGCACTTTCATAAAGAAATATTTGGTCACAGCAAACGTTGTGAGCTGGCATAAATGTAAGCTACATGTTGTTTTCTTTTTACCTAGCTGATTTTGAGTTGTTTTAGGCACTGTTTACACTAATACGTTAAAACAGCATTTTAGAATAAAACAATCTACATTCAAACTGCCGTTTCACCTAGCATGTCTGAAAAGATCTCCGTCCACACTACACCACTGAAAACGAACATCACATGACCACACATGCACACTCTGTCATGCACTGCAGCATATGCGGACATCTAAGCTCCAGTCTGCAGATACTTTGAGCACAACACCTCAGATGAGAGCAAGGCACATCAGTTCAGTAACGATGTTTTGTTGAATTTCATCTCACTGTAGTTGTTGAGCATGATATTTAATTCATCTTGTCTCTATCTAACAACTTTTTAGTTTTTGAATCTATTACTTGTTTTCAGATAACGCGTTTTGGCTGAGCGCAAAGATAAGTTATAAGATAACTATAACTGACTATAAAATTTTAAAGACACTTTGCAAGTATATACCAACTTACACTAACCCTAACCCCAGCCTAACAGTCTACTTATAATCTAATGAGAATTAGTTGCAATGTATCTTAAATTTGACAAATGGACTATCAAAAAAAAGTGTGACCAAGATGTTTATAATGAAAGTCCATCAGTTGTTTGGGTCTTATTTGTAAGGTTTTCCAGCTAAATGGTTAAAATAGTTGTATAATGGGGAGTAAACAATGACAGATTTTTCATTTTTGGGTGAACGATCCCTTTAATGAATAAGCCAGTTAGGATCATCCTCCACATGGCCAGGCTCTTATTGTTTGTGTCCTCTGGTTCTTATCTGAAATCTCTGCTGCTAGCTTTCTGCTCTCTCCCCGCTGGAAGCCTTGCTGCAGTGTCAATCATCAACAGGCTGGTCATTCAACAGCTGCGTTTCTGAAGAAGAATGCACACACGCTCTTGTCCTCTCCCATGTTCCTGTTGCGTAATAATTTATTTCACGATACTGACAAGAACCAGAGCCTTTTTTTTCTCCACAAAGACCTACTGCTTGCAGAAAGCAGTCCATCGTATCCAATTTGTCTGCAATTTGAGAATAAGGATTGATTGATAGTAAGGGCAATTTTTGCGGGGCACATTTTTTAAGCTAAGTGTGGGGGAAGAAATCACAATTATTGGGAGATAAAAGAGGAAAAAAATGACTAGTCTTGTTTGAAAATGGTTTCTGTGCAAAATCCATTTAAAGATTTTTTATTTTTTGCCTAAACCCTACCAACCCAATGTACTAGTTTCTGGTTGATTAAAGCAAAGGCTAAAACTCATTCAATATTCTGGGCTTATCGGCTACAAGCACTCCCAGCTCTCAACACTGATTAATTGTTCCGCTGCTCCTATAAACCTTGACACACATATCCATGATAATCCACCTGAAACTCTGAAAAATCTGACTGCTTTTAGTCTGTGTGTGTGTGTGTTAAAATAATAACTCCATGAACGTTGTGCAGTGACTATTCCAACACCATTTACAAAATTAAGACCTGATGGAAGTTGACATGGCGTGGAGAGCTTTTTAAAATTCATAGGTGTTAGCCAGGTATGTTTAATTGTTTGTGCATTAAATGAATCCAGGCATGTGATTAGTTGGGCTTGCTGTCCTTGCCACTTCTGATTTTGTATTTTGAATTATGCACATAGGAAAAACAAATGATGTTGGCTTTATATCGATACATGTCATTTGTTTGTGACCGCTATGGTCTAAAAGGCAAATGAGCCAAAAAATACGGGCGCACAGTGAATGTCGGCACTTCTTGTGTTATTCAAACTATATCAAAAAGCTAATTCAAGCACATTTTGGTGACCCAGTTTATTTCTGATTCAATAAGCCATGTGTTTAGCAAAAGTTCATTAGCATTGAAGTGCAGACCTTCTGTGTTAATATTAATTGCTGTCATTTGCATTTACAGATATAATCTAATCAGATTTCAAAGTTAAAACTATACCTTTTATGCTAATAATGTTTTCATGTTTTGCAGGACTCTCCGGTAACCCTGCTGATATAGAAAAGCGGCATACATCGTTTGGTAAAAACTTTATCCCCCCGAAGAAGCCCAAGACTTTTCTGCAGTTGGTATGGGAGGCCCTGCAGGATGTCACTCTTATTATTCTGGAGGTGGCAGCCATTATTTCTCTCGCCCTGTCCTTCTACCACCCGCCAGAGGGAGACAACGCCGGTAAGTAGCCATCAGAATTTAAACTATCAGTATGTACAGTGCCTATAGTGAAAATCTATATCTTTACTCGCATTGCACTCTGCTTTCAAAAGACCTTCAGGATAAAGTTGTAGAAAGGCACATGCTAGGAGAAGGCTACAAAATCGTTACAAAGGCTGGGAAAGTTATTTGGAAAGTGATTTGGGAGCCACTTCAAGATGTCACACTTATTATTTTGGAGGTGGCAGCAATTATTGCTCAAGCCCTAGACTTTTACCACATGCCAGAACAATGCTATACCAGTAAGTAGCTTCCTGAATTTAAACTATCAGTTTACAGTGCCTATAGAAAATCATAATATCCTGTGAAAATCTACATGTTTACTTGTATAACACCTTTCAAAAGACCTTCAGAATAAAGTTGTAGAAAGGCACAGGTTAGGAGGCTACAAAAACATTACAAATGCTGGAAAAGTTATTTGGAATGTGTTTGATTTCAGGCTGTGTGACAAATGAGGTAAATATTTCAAAAGGCTATGATGATTTTGTATAGGCACTGTACATTTGAAATGGCGTATACCCCAAACTATTGGAGTATACTATTGGATTTCTTCTTGTATAGTAGTCTTTCATTGGGTTTAGGTAGCTTTGGAGAATAAGCTCTAACTATCTTCAGTCTTTAATGTTCAGAGAACAGTTTCATGTTTTTCATTTTGATTCTGAGTTTATTAGTGACTCAACATTTTGGCGTCTTATGTTTTAATAATAGCCCCATTTGGGACTTTTGTTCATAAGCACAGCTCTGAATACTGGATAACTTGAATCTGGCTGTGACTGAGGACTGTTCCTATTACCCATATGGCTCAAGCAACAAGGGTGACCTTAGACTGTCAACAAGTTCTCAAGGAGAAAATTGGGTCAATAAAGTGTAAATCTGTGGTAAAACATGTTGCTGGCATGAGGAAGCTTATGAAGATGAGACGCTGATATATCATGAGTGCGCAGCTGCACTTAATGCCCTCTAAGCGTTTTCAGGCTTGTTTAAAGTACAAATTAAATGAAAGCTAGCTATATGATTTTGTTAGCTCATATTGCTAGTTTTGAGGGGAACAATTCATCTGTGCATGTCATTAAGAAAAAAAGCTCTAGTAGTAATAATCTTTAATTGAAATCTGATAATACACTTTATGTTTTTTTTTTCAGTTCTCAGATTACGTATGTCCAGGGTATTGGTTGTGGCTAACATTTAACTACACCCCTTCAACTTTCAGTTTGGAAACAAACAGATATGAGGTGTCTGTTAGGCTGTAATAACTCTTCTGAAACACTTTTTTCTTGAATGAAATGCCCACTTTACTACATCCAATCAGATCACAGTAGAAAAACAAGCCACACCCACTGTTTTCTCATTTAGTATTTCGTTTCTCTAGGGACTTCATTATTTGAGGCTCCGCAGTGGACAAAAGTCAAGTGAACACAGAGAGACCCAATGTACTCACGAGAGAGACCAAGTGCTGGTGCGCGAGAGAGGCCGAGAGACTTATTAAAGTTACTATCATTACTTAATTAATGACATGTCAATTCAGCTTCTTGCACTGAATATAGAGCAATTATTTTACCTTTTTATTAATTTTGAGCACTTATCATTGTGTCCTCATGTAGAAATGGGATAATCCTATCAGACAAGATTTTTTTATTTGCATTTTTAAATAATCTGTACAATATAATGCCTTGGGGACACAAATGCCACCAAATAGCAGGAATGACCCAATTACAAATGCTCTGGTGATACAAATTTCTCACCCGAGTAATAAATAGCATTTTAAAGTCAGTAAAACTGCTCAAACTGTCTTAAATAAAGTGCAAATTATTACTTCACAAACATTACTGTTGTATAAACAAAATGTGCCATCATTACATTAAAAAGAACCCATGGAAACAAAGTGGTAAACATTGCAGTATTAGTAATAGTAAATAATAATAGTAACTAGTCTCGTGATCTCTTTCGTAGGCCAGCACTCACTCGCAGCACTCACATCTCGTGCGCCAATATTTGTTCTCTCTCACGTGCATTTGGTCTCTCTCGCGCACATACTCTGGCTCTGTGTTTGCTTGACTTTTGTCCACTCCAGCGCATCATACATCACAATACGAAAAATTTATTTGTTGCAGCTTCCGGTTCATGTAAACATTAAAGGACATGTTTAGTTTAAATTAAGCAGATACAGATTTTTAGCACAGGTTAATGATTTATTTCTTTTTTCTATGTTTGTATGCTATTTCAGCCTGTGGCGAAGTGGGAGGTGTAGAGGATGAAGGTGAATCCCAAGCAGGTTGGATTGAAGGTGCTGCCATCTTGTTCTCTGTTATTATTGTGGTGCTGGTGACGGCCTTTAATGACTGGAGCAAGGAAAAACAGTTCCGTGGGCTGCAGAGCCGCATTGAGCAGGAGCAAAAGTTCACAGTGATCCGCAAAGGTCAGGTCATCCAGATCCCGGTGGCTGAAATCGTCGTGGGAGATATCGCACAAATCAAATACGGTGAGGGTTCACATCTGACAGCAGGAGAAATATTGCACCAACCTGTTGAATTAAAGGTGCAGTAGGTGATCTGCCAAAAAGCTAACCGCTTAGCATATTATCTTTGGACGATGGGGAGGGACTGTGATTCAAAGCCACACCCCCTGAAATCGCAAGCGTGCTCAACAGCCGACAGACAACCCATTAGTTCAGGTCATTCGCCAGTTGGTTAGTGCCAGCACCGTGCAGGAATTACATTTATTATAGTTTGCCACACTTACATGATATTTCAGAGCGAATATTCAGAGTAGCATGGTAAACAGTATAGGAAGGCTTTCATTGTTCAAAAATGACCCAATGTGAATATAAAAGCAACTTCAGCTCAGTAAAGCAGGCTAGGCGGAATAGCGCTATTTACTGGTGTTTTGTTGTTAAACTAAATATAAATCTACATTATAGATGCTGTCAAAGGACCTAATGAAACTGAGAATAATCACATCAATCTTTCACCAGGAGATTTCAGTCATTCATACATATAAGTCATTCATAACAAAACACAATCTAACATAAAATAGTTTCAAAACAGAACATTACCTGTTTAACAGTAATATTTAAGCCATGGTGTCGTCCTTCCTCCATCGTGCTAAAGTAACTCCAATATTGATTCAGGTATTTAAAAGTTTCAATTCAGCATTTGATTTCTCTCAGTCCGTCTCGTGACCGCGCGACCGCTTTAAGAGCGAATTATACCCGCGACTGACAGACAGTCTTACCAGCTTATCGGAATTAAGGGAGATGATGGTCCGACTCTATTTAATTGGATGAACATTTTTTTGTTTTATGCTTTACCCAGAATATAAAAATACACATAAACACATTTAGATCATTTACTGTAATCATTACTATTGGACTGTGAAGAGACTTTCAACCAGCACAACAAAAAATGTTTCTGAAGACAATCACCTACTGCACCTTTAACTCCACAGAGTGACGGATCTAGATGTGACACATCGCCATTTTCACTGATATCTGCCATATTTGTGTTTTATGAGAGCTCTGGCATTTATAAAGCGTGGTTTTCGCCCCAGAAGTCTTTAGTTTTTTTATATTAAACCTCAGAGGCGGGTTTCTCATTGAATTCACCAGCGGTTGTGATGGATCATTTGTGACTGCCAGTCTTCTCTGAGACACAAAGCTTGGCTCATGACTCATGCTTACCGGCTTGCGTGAGTCACTGTGCTGCTGCTCTTGGTGCCTGCGACGTGGGCGACGCGTGGGGTGTCCAAGAGGCACAGGAGAGATCTGTCGTCATGGTCGCCAAATCAGCTTCTGCTTCTCTCCACTCGCTAAATTGCTGAATGTGTCTTTCTCTCTGTCTATTCCTCTCTCTATCTCTCTCAATGTCATCCTGCAGTTGTTTAATACCCCATGTTCTTTTCCATCAGGTGACCTTCTCCCTGCTGATGGTATCTTGATCCAGGGTAATGACTTGAAAATTGATGAAAGCTCCCTGACTGGGGAGTCCGATCAGGTCCGCAAATCTCTGGAAAAGGACCCCATGCTCCTTTCTGGTGAGATGGAGCGTCTAGATCCTCTTTAAACTACTGTAGCTTTCGCTGTAGCATGCAAGAGACCGCATTCTGAGATTAGAACTGGAAAGTATCACAATCTTAGAAGTTGTTTAAAACAAGCAAATAAACAAACAAACAACAAATACAATCTTTTTTTTTTCTCTCATTAAAGAGAAACTACACACACGCACCAATATGATAATATATTTTCATCCTGTTCTGGTAATATAAAAATGCATTAGAGAACGTTTTTTATTCAGGAGATATTTTAAGGGAAATTTTTTGAAATGGTGTCTTCTGGAACAATTTTAGAATATTTATCTTTGGTTAAACTAAAAGATATGTATTTGAATGTTTGTTAAAAAACTTATATAATTGTTATTTACTGTTTATTTAGAATAGGTTTTGCCATGAATATAGCTAATGCTGCTTAAATGGCATTAAAAATAGATATATAAATACAATGCAATGCAATATAATACAATACAAAACAATACAATGTAATACAATGTGATATGATATTTAATGCAATAATATCTAAACATACAATATTTTTATTCTGGAAATAAGTTTTGGACCCAACTTCTAATGGTAAGGAATGAAGGCCTTAGTGTTTTTAGAAACACTGTTTCTTCTGTTTAAAGTGTTGTCATTTAGAAAGTAAGCAGCCAATTAGCACATGCTTTTGTTCAAAGAGACTTGCAGTACTCTATGGAAACTATCCCGCTGGAGCAGCCTTGGTGTTAAGTACTGTACTTTGCTCAAGCACACAATCTGCTTTTTAAGTTGTGGCGCATCAACCATCCGATCAAGACTTTCGTTTTAAGTGAGAATAGTCTATACTGCCTTGTATAAGCACTATTCATTTACAGGATATCTTTAAAGCTATCCTATAAATATAAAGATGTCCATTATTTTCTAAAGGCTGTTTTGTATACTAAAGGTTGTTTGTAGTTATTGGCTACAGAATGCAACAAATTAGTGTCTATATTGTTAGCTACCAAGTTAAAAAATTACTTTTGAATGAATATATTAACTAAAATGACTAATTTGGTGGAAAGACAGTGGTTAAGAAAGCATCTGATCATAGTCATTTAGATGTTTTCACAACATCTGCAGTTTTATATTTCAATCGGTCTACAGGCTTTCATAGACAACCTAGCAATTCAGTGAACATATCTTTGCTTATTTGTTCACAAATTGGCAAAAGGTCTTACAGACAGCTCATTTTTATGTTTATGAAAATGCATGTTGTACGCAACATTCTGTTTGCTCACGGCATCCTGGACGCCAATATTTTTGGAAAGATGAATCACACTCTGGCCAACTGAGATTTTAGTAGGGAGATAAAGGATATTGATTTTTGAATAGTAATACAGCACACCATTGGTGTATAAATGCACTACTTGTGCTTTTCTTTTTGGATATAAAAGATTTTTAGTATCCAGTTGAATTTCGCTGGTAATCACTCTTTAGCTACTTTGAGCTTTTTATCTGTTGGCTATTTCACACTATTTTCAACATTTGTTTTTATTAAAATCAATGCATTTAATTATTAGAAACAAGTTTTTTAATAGCATCACATGGTAATATTGATAATAAACATGAAAACCACTTGTTGAGTTCAACTGGCTTTAAGTAAATCATAATCAGGTGGCGTGGTATGTGGAGTTTGCATGTTCTCCCTGTGTTTGCGTGGGTTTCCTCTGGATGCTCCGGTTTCCCCCACAGTCCAAAGACATTGGTGAATTGGATGATCTAAGTTGGGTGTAGAGTATGAGTGTGAATGCTAGAGTGTATGGCTGTTTCCTAGTAATGGGTTGCAGCTGTAAGGGCATCCGTTACATAAAACGTTTGCTGGAATAGTTGGCAGATCTTTCCACTGTATCGACCCCTTATAAAAAAGGGATTAAGCCGAAGGAAAATGAATGTACGAATGAATGAATTAATTAAAATCGGGATTTAAAATAAACTTTACATAATGTTAATCATTGTATTTATGTTAATAGATAGAATATTTTGTTTATGCTTATGTTTGTATTTAGTTTTAGATCAAGAATTATGGTTTAGAATTTGTTGTTAAGAATAATCATTTTTGAATGAGTAATAAGTGTATTGACCTTTATTATGATGTTTTTTTTTTTTTTTTGCCTTCATTCAGGAACTCATGTGATGGAAGGATCTGGCCGAATGGTGGTCTCAGCTGTGGGCCTGAATTCTCAGACTGGAATCATTTTCACCCTGTTAGGCGCCGGTGAGGATGAGGAGAAGAAGGTGAAGAAAGGTGAGAACTTAAAGCACTTTCATTCTCATTTAGATAACTCTCTCTTTGAGTGAGTAAACCAGTCTGCCTCTCTAGTTGGGAGGTTACCTGCCGTCAGCCAGCCACAGGTAAGAGCTATTTACCTGATTTGCTGAACTGTCTCCCTCCCCCAAAACGCCGGCTTTTCTGAAACCCTTTGCCATGGTTACAATTTGCCATTATTTTAGGCAATAATCACAGTTAGTGGAGAGATGTACAATGCCCCTTGAGTCACTTTCCATTGTACTAACTCTTTTATCTTATAAGTTTTAGTTTGATTTTGTGTTTTCTTTTTCTCCATTTTTTTTCTCTGTTAGCTCATATGCTACAGTAAGTTTGGCTAGTTATTTCTAATAAGCCGAATGTATAAAAAAAAAAAGTAATGCTACATTTCCAAATACAAAAGATGATCATGATAATTACACTATCAAAGAAACCGGGATTCCAGATATTTTAGCATGAATTTTGTCTATGCTAAAGTGATCTGCGTGACCCACGACGCATGCCTTGTGCATTGCCGTGCATTTATACTTTTGCACGCTGTTTATGTTTCTCTGCAATAACACTTCCGAAACGCTTGCTAGCAGTGAGGTTTTTATATTCCTTTGTGATGAGTTTCTTCGCTGGTTTTTGGTTTTTTCTACTCTAGCTGTGTCCTACATGGCACACTATACACTATGCACTTAAACACTAAACAGCATAGTATATGTATAAAGTGGAACATTAATAGGTTTTTTTTCAAGCAGAAATTGTAACCTTTTGTTTAATTTTGTTAAATTGTTTCCCAGGTGACGTTTGACAGTTGGCAAATTAGTGAAGTAAATGACCAAACTACCAAATAATACCTGCCATTAAGATAACTGCATTCACCATCGAGAGGCTGTAAAATCACTCTCATAGGAGAATTGTGCTTTCATAATCCAAAATAAATAAGGTAATCCATCATGTGCACCCGATAGCTCCGCCCCTACCGATACGTGAGCTAAGCTGCGTCATTGAGTGCGTGAAGTTTGCACCAATCCACACTTAATTTTAGCGGTTGAATAAGTGCTGCATCCGGGTAATGAAAGTGCACTTATTATTTTTAGAGTTTTCAGTGTGAACGCACTAACAATATAATACAAAATGGCATAAAACCATAAAAAGTGCATAAGTATGTGATTTGGGACACACTTTCAACCTTAATGTACAAGTGGCTCAAACTCGCTCAATTTGAGGTGGGAACTGGTGGACATGCAACAACTTTAATCATAAGGTAACACATAACAAAAGTTTCCATCTGGAGCTCCTTCACAGGACTCAACACTTTTAAATAATTTCTTAAGCAGGTTCGTCTGCTCTCAGTCCTGCCCACACTCGTCAACTCTACCAAGCTGACCAATCACAGAGCTTGTGCTGCGTTGTTGAGACGCGTAGTAAAGGTTGATTTATACTTCAAGTGACAAGCGCACGCATATGCTCTGGTGCAGCCTGCATGTGAATGCAGAGCCCTTGCCTTGATCGTCGCCGATGCTGATGCACACCTCTCAAAACAATGTCAGTACACCTCGCAACGATGCGTAAAGCAAGCTCTGTGATTGGTCGGCTTGGTATCGCTGACGAATGCGAGCGGGACCAAGAGCTGTGCAAACCTGTTGAAGCGAGTGTTTACAAGTGCCGAGTGCCAAGAAGGAGTTCTGGATATAAAGTTTTGTTTTGTGTTTACCTTATGATTAAAGTAGTTGCACGTCCGCCAGTTTCCGCCTCAAAATGAGCGAGTTTGAGCTACTTCTATATTAAGGTAGCTTTCAGAATAAAACAAAACACCAGTGAAGAAAATTGACACCGAAGAACCTACTGCCAGCTAGCATTTTGGAAGTGTTATTGCAGACACAAACAGTACAAACAGCGGCAGAAGTATAAATGCACGACTTTATGCACGGCCAGGCTTTACATTTTTTGAGATGGTGCGAGTCAGCATCGGCCACAACAACGGCTAGGCGACCATGCGTAGGCTGCACCAGAGCATACACGTGCGCTTGACACAGAAGTGTAAATCAGCCTTAGGTCATGCTAAGTTCAAGCTAGTTATTTCTAATGAGCCAAATGTATTTTAAAAAAACGTGAATACTACACTTGCAAATACAAGAGATGATCATGATAATTAAACTGTCAAAGACACAGTGATTCCCGTTATTTTAGCATGAAGTTTGTCCCTTCTGCATGCACTGGCTTTCCTGGTCCTCCAGGGTACGTCAAAACCTGACAGCACTTGCTGTCAGCACTCACTGTATCTGTCATGTTCCTGTTTGTTGGATCAGCACCTAATTCAACAGCCTGACGGGTCCAAATGGTTTGTTGTTTCATTGCCCTTTAAGTCTAAACTTAATATTTTGATTCCTTCATTTGTGGTGTAATGACAGTTCAGCCATTGTCTGTTAGTTAAATAATTGCTGTAATTTTCCTTTCCCCCTCGTACTCAAAGAATATCTTTCTGTCGAATGTCAATCGAAAGAACTGTATTTCAGTTTCAGCCAAACCCTTTTGGCATTGCTATAGTTTGTGATGCAAGCACAGAAATGTGTGAAACCGCTAAATCCAAATGAGGTTTTGTCAGCTATATGCCACAGTCAAACACAATGACCGAGCCGTCAGTGTACCCTGCATAAAGACCCTCCAGTCCTTGTCTTTTCTTCTATAGATGACGCATCCAATCCCACATATACTCATGTAATGTAGTGTTATTTATCTAGTTTTTTATTCTTTTGTTGTTGTGTTTTCCTTCTTTTCTTCTTCTGTCTTTGGTTTATTTACTTTGAGCCATGTTATATCAGCCCTCCGCCCTCTCTCTCTCGTTTTAAACAGGTAAAAAACAAGGACCCCCTGAAAATCGCAACAAAGGTAACCTTACCCACTCCCTTTCCCCCCCTTCCCCCTCCCCATTCAGCAGCAAGTCTCGGAGTCTCGTGTCAGTCCCACTCACTCACTCGCTCACTTTCTCTCTCTGTCTTTCACGCTGTTGCTTACCCCTTCCTGCTGAGCCCGGGGGAGCTTCTCGCCTCGCTTTACCTATCAAAGGGTGCAACTCTCACCTGCTGGAAACGGCACTAAGCAGCCAGAAGACTTATCCGCAGCTCCTCTTAACAATGAGTCACACCTAATCTAAGTTAAGAAATAGAATTTAGTAATAATGTTGTGCTATTATTCTTATTATTAAAGCATATTGAGATAAAGTACAAATGGGTACAATTGATCAAAAGTTAGTAACTATATATATTATAATGGTAGTATAATTTATTGCCCTTGAAAGGAAAATTGTTATGGACAAGATGTTGCTGCAGACATACAATAAACAAACAGTAATGACAAATAAAATAATGATTGAATTCCATTAAAATCAAGATCAAAATAAACTCTTGAATAAACCAGGACTGGAGTAATGATGCTGAAAGTTCAGCTTCATTACTATTAAGTTCATTGCACACTCCGAAATGTTTGCACATTAAAAAATAAATAGTCTCATTTTGTTTCTGTTGAAAATGCCACTACTTTCCTGAATTTGAGGATAATACTTTTCAGATCTTTGATAAGAAGGGGAACATTCCTTCCTTTTCATTACCGGATTGGATGGACACAATATTTAAATTTTTTTAGGAGAGAGAATAAAGCATCACTACTAAAATATGTACTGAATTAGTTTTCACTTTTTAAAATTTCTTTATTATTATTATTATTATTATTATTATTATTATTATTATTATTTTATTTTTTTTTTTTCAACAATTTAATTAATATCTACTTTACTATGTGTTACAAATTTTCCAAATACAAATTTGGAAAAACGCGAAGTAACATTTTGGGCACCAGTTTGCAAAGACCTAAAGTGTAAATGGCTATAAAATCTTGTGTTAACCAATGCATTTTTGCGCAGCTGAAAACACCAGTGCTCTTCAACTGTCAGTGCTTCTAAAAAGGAAGAGCACTCAGCACTTTGCAACGGCGTTCAAAAAAAACCCAAAAAAAAAACACTTTTGGTGGTTGAAAACAACCAAATAAATGCTTCGATGGACACCCGCCCTTACTGTCTTAAACAGAAATGTCTAGTAGCGTGGGCAAGCAAACACTTTTAAATGTGATTTTTTTTTTTTTCATGCTTTATGCCATTCTTGAAATCTCAAGCAAGAGATGCGTCACTATCACTAAAGAAATACCATAGTCCAACTTAATTGACCAGTGTTTTAAGCTCAAAGATGGCAGTTTTTATACAAACTGGAGCTGTAATCATAAATCTCCAATGTACAAAACCTTCAAATGACAAACCTGGATATTATTTGTTCTTGTAAGTAAACCCATTGAAATGGACAACCCCTAATTATTATATCTCTGACATTTGCACTTTATCTACTAACATGTCTTTTAGTTGTTTATTTATTTATTTTATTTCTTAAAGCAAACTATCTCTGGCCGGGTCATCTGTGAACATTTGTACTGTGTTTCTGAGTGTGCCCACTCTGCCCTAACTGACCCCAACAACCCCTCCTCAGCCCCATTCCCTGTAGCGCTCGGGGACTGAGCATCTGCTCCAGACAGAACCGCTTATTTTGTCTGCGCAGATCTCCTTCCTTGTGCCCTTGGTCTCAAGCACATTGCACTTACACAAATTGGTATTGGTTTAACACTGCGGGAATGTGTAATCAGTGTCGTCACCAGGTCTTGCTTCATGATATGATCTTCTATGAAACTTTTCACAATCCAATAATTTCCTGATGGATCAGTCCAACTACTATTTTATTGAATATTCTGTTTTGTTTGGAAAATATATATCGAATGGGTAGTGAGTTATGATCAAGGTCTCATATCGACTTCTGATTCGTTCATATGCAGTTTTTGTACGTTCGTAGCTTTTATAGATGGTTTATGATATTAATGTAATGCTTAGGGGCGTGGCTTATGTGGGAGTTGCACCCTTGCAAAATGGACCGGCTGTGGATTGTTGTTTTTGTCCGTTTCTTTACTTTAGCTCTTTGTTTTTCTCACTGTTGCTTCTTTCTAGGGTGTGGCTCAGGACTTCATGCTGTCTTGTTCACTCTTCTCTTGGTCAACATTTTGACCTTTTTCTTTCTCCTTTACTGTCTGTCTCTGGTACCGCACTCTCTCTTTTGGGAGAGGAAAAATAAACCAAAATCTCTGATCTTGTTCGTCTTCCTCTTGGTCCTTGTTTTTCTCGTGGTGGTTGTATCTCTGGCTGTTTGGATTGTTTTGTTTTTTCTTTTTCTGTTTTTAAGTTGTTTGTAAATCACTCTTCTGTTCGTCGTGCGTGCCTCTGTTCGTGTTGTCAGTCAGACAGTCAGTCCGTCCATCAATCCCTGATTCATGTGTGGTCGTTCTGGTCAGCTCTGT